AGGCACAGACGTCCTGTACTCGTTAGGATCAAAATCAAGGGTTGAAGTTTCAAATGCACCATTGTTGTATTCTCAGCCTTTGGGATTAAATATTCTGTTACTTGGATTTAGGGTGAGGATTATGATCAGGAACAACCCATGAAAGCCTTTTGAAGCTGAGAGTGCTTGAGAAACATGAGGTGTTGTTATTCTCTACCTGAGTTTTAGCTGCCAGAGTCAACCTTGGCCTTCCCACCCCTGTCCAGGGATTGCATGGATGGACCATGTGTTGACACATTACCAGGAAAGTCCTGGACATATTCTGCTAGAACCTCACTCAGGCCATCCCAGCTCCCTACCACAGGTACTTTCTCTGGCCAGAGGTCACCATGGGGACTGATTGCCAGAGCAGGACAAGGCAGCTTCACCATCAAGGAGGACCCTGGGGTTAGGATGGGGAATATTCAGTATGGAAACACTAAAGGAGCAGGTCCGTTGTGACTATCTGGGTCCCCTGGCACTTCAAAGCCATGGCTTCAGGCATGTGTAATGTAGTGTGCACATGTGCTAGCACACACCTGCTCTTACCTGCCCTGGGCACCTACACTGTACTAGAACAGGAGACACAATGGTGATATATTCCTTGCTCTCATCCAACAGGGCAGACTTTCACACAAAGGTGAAATGACTATCTGATGAACCCAAGGTCTTAATAGAAATATAAACCATGGGGGTGGGAATGTAGCTCAGTGGTTGAATGCTTACCTAGCATATGTGAGGTCCTTGGTTCAACCCTCAGCAACAAAAATAAGACAAAACAAAACAACACGACAACAACAACAACCACAAATAACCAGGGGCTATACGAACACCTGACTCTGATGAGGTGTCAAGGAAGTGATTGCAGGAAAGGGAACTTCTGTGCTGAGTCTTGAGAGCTGGAGAGATAGAACTTTATGAGTTCTCAGTGCAATTTAGGAAATGAATAATGTGTTCAGAATCATCAGTGTTTCAGAGGGCATGTGGCATTCAGGAGGCAGCAAGCTGCTTTGAAGTTTTGGTGCATGAGATGTATGTGGGGTAGTGACAGGAACTGAATTAGGAAGAGACTTTAACATCACAACAAAGATTTTGAACTTTATAGTTGATGAGAGCCAATAAAATACTTGAACAGGAAGATTGACTTGATTGTCTTTGTGACAATCATTCTGGTAGCACAGTGGTGACAGATTCTAGTGGGGCAAGATTGAAGACTAGGAGACCAATATTGAGGTGGTTCCCCATAGTCTAGATGAAGGCCTGAATCAGGGTATTGCCAAAAAGGATGAAAAGGGGGTGCTGAGAATTCCAGAGATTCTAGATTCATGTCCAGTTTACACAGATGATGGAAAGGCAACAAGTCTAAAATAAACTCATGGTTTTCACTGGGGTAAGGGAATATCTTTTATTACATCATGGTGTCTGGATGATGAGCAGGTTTGGGGTCAACTAAGGACATACAGTCGTATGCTGCTGCATAACAATATTTTGACCAATGACA